GGGCGCGCGGCGGGGGCGGGAGGAGCCCGAGACGCAGGCTGGAGAGACGGCGGGGACCCCTCCCACCCCACCCCGCTGAGCTCCGCGCCCCTCCCTCCCTGGACTCGGGGGGCGTCCTCCGCTCTCGGAAGGGGTCTCAGGCTCTCTGCAGCGACCCTCTTCCACCCCGCCGAGCTCCGCGCCCCTCCCTCCCGGAACTCGGGGGGTGCCCTCCGCCCAAGCGCACCCCGCCCCTCTCGCGCCCCGCCCCCCTTGCAGCCCGCCCACCCTCGCGCCCCTTCCCTCCCGGGACTCGGGGGCGCCTTCAGCTCTCCACTGGGGTAGGGACCCACTCCCCGCACACACCCACAGCCCACTCCCGCAGAGTGGCCCCCGCTGCGCCGCGGCTGACCGGTTGGGGAGGGTAGTCATGGGTGCGAGTCTCCCCACGCTCCAGAAGAGACCCCTGTGCGCTGGCCGACGCCGCGCGCCTCAGCCGGCTTCTCCCGCCCAAGTGCTGCCCTCTGCCGGCCAGGACGATCAGGCGGCCGGGGTTGCAGCCGGTGGATGTGGACGTTCCTCCGCATCTCCTTGGAGTTTCGCCTTTCATTGACCCCATTCGTCCTGTCTTCTCGGAGCCCTCCTTCCAGTCCTCACCTCTCCGCTCAACACACATACACACACATTTCTTTTTCTGTTATTCCGGCTAACGGCCATCATCCCGCTAGACCTTGGGCTTTTCATTCAACTGCCTCTTCAAGGTTGAGCTTCCATCTCTTCGCCCCTAATTTGTTTCCCCGGCTCCAGCAGGCCGCCTTCTAGTCTGTGGGTTCCTAGAGGTCAGCATGTGGGTGGTACATCAAGAACCCGTGGGCTGGATCTGGGACCACATCAAAAGACCTCTGGGGGTCGTGTCCCCTCCTCACTCCCGATGTAGGCCTGCCCGAGGCCTGTTACTCACTGCTTCTACTCTGCTTGCTCAGGGAAGGAGAATATCGTTGTGAAGGGACAGCCTCCAAGCTACTCTGCTTTCTCGATTCTCACCTTAAATGCCGTTTTAAAGCCAATAGAATCTTATTTCCATGGGTGTTGAGTGTCAGCCTGAAAAGACCTTACCTTAGGTACGTAATGCCAGGTGTTGAATGCTAAAAAGTAGAAATTTTAATATAAGTTTATAGAAATAAGTTCCAGCCTCTCAGAACCAAAGTGTATACCCAAGATTACCTGCGTGAATTGTCCTTAGTTTAGGCAGCTAAGGGGTCTTGGTTCCCAGGGAATCTCTATAGCCAAAGGATTATGTCTTCATAATAGTGTATGTTTGTGAAATACACTTTTATTAAAGCTTTAGAGGAATGCATAGCTCAATGAATGATACATTTGAGAAATAAAAAAGAAAGGTCTCAGAGTTTGAGTGGAGAGGGAGAAGGGAGCAGTAAGGGGAAGGAATGGTGGCTGTGAGTGGATTCTGCAAACATGTTTTGAGTACCTCCCAGTGCAAAGGTCAGTGCTAGAGGCTGGGTTACAAGGCAGGCAGGTAGTCCTTGCCTTCAGGGAGCTCACAGTCCTTCTCTGCAGACACGTAGACAACTAATTCTGAGAGGCTGTGGGGGAGAATTGACAAAAGAGCAATTAAAATGATCGGGGTGCTCCACCAAACATGCCAACTCTCTGGAGAAGTTGACATTTGAGCTGGGTCTTAAAGGAGAAGTGAGGCCTCAGCAGGAGAGGGAAGGACGGAATAGGCAGAAGAGTCCCCAGGAGCAAAGGCGTAGAGATGTGAGAGTACTTTTTAGGGGACATCAAATGTGGCTGGAGGCACAGCAGATGAGGCTGGCAAGATAGTTATCATCACCTTGTAAGGACCTTAAAGACTTGAGGCTTAATTCATGAGGCTCTGAGAAGCCATCAAAAGATTCTGAGGAAAAAAAAAAAAAAAAAGGAAACCTGCCTAAATTGAGTAGATAAATGAATATTCTCAGGAAAGATGATCAAAAATTAGAAACCATTGCTTGTATTCTGTTCAAAGCATCAGATGGGCTTGTTTACCCTTGACTCACCTCTTGCTTGCCAATCTAAGTCCATCACCATATCTCATTGGAATTACTAGCTTTTGTGACACAGTGAGGTAGAGCAAATAAGAAGATTCCCTCCTACAGCAGGCAGGAAAGATCTCTTGGTTTCTTCTCATAAACAGTTCTAAATGGTCTAGTAAGGTGAGAAATGATAAGCTCATTTCAATTGTACTCTGATGGCTTCTTTTGTGTAAGACAGTCTCCAGCTAGACAGTATAGTGATCAGAAAAAAATTCCTGTTGCTGTCGAGTCGATTCCAACTCACAGTGACCCTATTGGAAAGAGTAGAACTGCCCCATAGGATTTCCAAGGAGTGCCTGGTGGATTTGAACCACTGACCTTTTGGTTAGCAGCCGAACTCTTAACCACTACGCCACCAGGGTTAGAGCAGGGACGATGCCTTTTATTTCTCTTATGCCTTCTTCAGTTACTAAAACAGCATGGAGCACATAGTGACTGTTAACAGGGATTTTTGTTGGTTATGTTGAGCAAAAGAATAAACGTGTTCCCTATGGCACTGCTGACTACTTCCTCCGTAAGTGGAAATAATTGTTCTATGCCCCTTGGTTAGGGAATATTCTCTCCTCTTGATTTTACATTTTGTTTTGCCTTTTCCCATCTTTTACTACAAACTTCCTATTCATAGATTTCTAAGACACCATTTTTTTCCTCATTCACCATCCTCTGAAAAAAATATTTTCCCCTATCTTCAACTCATGATTAGAGCTGATCCAGGGCTTTAATTCAAGGTGATGACAACAGTTAGCAGAAAAGAACAGAGAATCGTAGCTACTTCTTCAGTGCCCATCTTCTCGGTTTCTGTTCTGTTCATAGACTTCTGGAGCTATTACTTTGTTTTTAAGCTGTCTTAACGTTTCTTCCCACATTCGGATTCTTTTCTCCTCTTCTTTCATTGTCTTGTTTTGTTATCTGATTTCCTTCATAGATTCCACAATGAAGGCAGCAGCTTCTGCCACAACTACCTTTAGGTTTCTAACATTTTGAATTTCAGTCTTTTCCACTGATTTGGTTAGGAGAAGTTTTTTCCCACCCTTATACTGTTTCCTTTTCCCACCCACCCCATCTGTAATTACTGTTTAGGATCCATCTTGTTTAAACCCGCAGCACAAGAGAACATAAGCTACAGCATGCTCTCATTTGTTGCCTTGTGAAAACAATTTATTAGGCCTGATGGAGCCAATATCCTGCGGTTACAGAGGAGAAAAATAAACTCTTGCCTCGTATTTCCTCGCCTAAGTAACAGAATGCAAAATTGTAATCTGAAGGCATCGGCTTTATGCGAAGTTGGACTGTAAAGGTATGAGAGCGTAAGAACAGACTTTTAGTTTGTAGTTGAGAGGGGACCGTATTGTTAAATTGAGAAACACACTATAGAAATCACTGAGGGAAACTGAACAGAGCAAAAAATTCCTCTTTCAACGAAAGGAACAATTTGGTTTTGACAGTAACTCAACATCTAGCTTGAACTTGAAGCTGCAGTGTTCGGGGACTGTTTCAGCCTCAGGCGGCCCTGCGTGATTGCCCTTCTGTTCCCGATACTAACCGTGATGGCAGCCCACCTTTTCTAGCAGATACACTTGGATTTTAATTTATCTGCAAAAATAAATCACACATTATAGCATTTTCCTCTTCGGGGTTAATTGAATCAGTTCTTTAAATGTCTCTAAGTCTAATGATTTGAAAGAGGCACATTGTCTGAAATCTTTAAAAAATTAGAGCCCTTAGGTTGTATGCTGAACGATCTCAGTGCTTATTTCAGATATGTGTTTCCTAAAGATCTCATTCGTCTCAAAGGAGATTTGCCTGGCCACTTTATCTGAAACGTTTCCTGAAAACTCCTAACAGGAAAGCTTAATGCAAGGTCTATTTATAGAGAAATGGTATTTGATTGATTAATAAAATCTTATAAAGAGCTTTACCTATTTTTTTAAATCCAGAAACACTTAATGAAGTATCTTGGCTGCATTAAGAAAAGTTCCATAAAATAGATTCACTTATATTTTTTATTTAATGTGAATATTAAATTTTTATTTGACATTTAAATGCTCATTTAATTATCCCTTTTCTTCCAACACCCAGAAGAAAGGCTGAGATTATAAAAATTCTCTGCAGAGTCAGTTCCTCAACCCCTGAGGTAGCCAGTGGCCACTGTATGTATGGCAAGGGGTATTGGTGATTGCATGGAGTAGAATCCTAATTAGTAATCACTCCAACAATCATGTTTTGATACAAAACACAATGTTTTTCCTTTTGGAATATAATCTCCATCTTGTGAGGACCCCGGGAGACTATTTTAAAAGTGGGAACTAGATTTGTCTTTGTTGTAAATCCCAGTTCCACCTCATACATGTTTTAGAGGCTTCAACCTGGGCGCTGGGATGAGCTCAGTACTTTATCAGTCATCACACTTAGCCAATTTAGGGAGAAATTAAAATTCCAGCTACTCAGTCTCTGAAGAGCTGAGGAAAAAGGCGTTAGCTCCCTCTGCAGTTGATGGCGTGTATGTGCAGGCGAAT